ATCCATCCATCCATCCATCCATCCATCCATCCATCCATCCACCCACCCAACCTTTTTGCAATCAAGTGTATATATATATAAAATCAGGATCTAGAAGAGGATCGCGAGTATTTATTAGAGCAGTTTTCGCATGACTGTGAAAAGCTCTCGGCACGAACACGTTCTTGACACGGCAAGGGATACGCCAGACCAATCACATTGCTCGAGAATTCACTCTCCATCCAATCAAATACCCGGAACACTTAAATTTCTAGAATTAAAATTAAAATTCTAGAAAGCATCACGGTCACGGCACGGCACTGAGATTTTCACAGTCATAAGGAAACTGCACTAATTGCAGTGAAGTCTTCACGTGTTTAGCTCACGCAACTGTTCATATTACGTGACGCGTTATACGCGTTCTAATGATGATAAGACTAACAGGTGGGGATCGCTTTGTGATCCATCTCCGTGTATTATCTTACTTGACACGATAAAAAAATGATATCACGATTGGTTCATACGTCAGTATAAGCGAGGTGTGTTGACGATGGTCAGTAAGCCGTATGGTACGACACATTTGAAACGAGACGGGATTTATTATACAGTTAATCGATTACTAGATATCCATATCACAAGAAAACGAGACATTCCTTTATGATGTCATTTGGATGTCTGGTTGGATTTATTACTTAATTAGTATTTGTTCTTATGGCTTAGCCCTTATAAGAGATTTAACCTGTCCCTGTTGGGTAGATATTACTGCAAATTTTGCCATCTGGGTTCGTTGGCCACCAGCAATATGTTGCCAAAAGGAAGTCAAAATTAGCGGAAAATAGAATAAATAATTAACGAAAACCTGTCGTATTTGTACCAAATTATTAATGATTTAAACTTACAGGAAGTCGAAATCTTAACTTCCCGTTCCGACAGTTATTATTCCACTTCCGTCTTGGTTGGACAGCAGGTTTACGACAGGCAATCGTCATCGAAGCTATATTTAGTTCAATGATTATTTGTAGATACATAGAGGAATCTTACATCATGGATCCGGAGAACATAATTAAGAGTTTCAGGCAACTTATTAAATATAGTTTATAAATGCAATATTATTTACACAATAAAAAGCAGAATCAAAAAAAAAAAAAAAAAAAAATCTCCAAGTGGTCAATGAATAAAAATATATTTGTGAATGAAGTGAAATGAACGATCGCGGTCATGTCGTTGCTGTTTACGGGGAGGAAAAACAGAACTTAAAGCTTAATTTTTGCATATTGTCGCGGAGTCAACAGCAGTTTTAAAATGAGCCATTCGTCTCCGCACGCGCCGTCCTCTGTCACGTCGAGTTTTGTTTAATTATAATATGTTTAACGTGACATCTACTTTAACGTATACGAGTCTTACATCAAGAATCTGTTGCGGGTTAAATATATAAAAAAGGTGTATTATACAACGTTATAAAAATTCAGTAATGTCTACCACGGTATACGGCGTTATATAATAGTTTAATTTCTATATATGACTTTATTCTCATCTTCCACGTTTACAAACACAAGTCACAACTATTAAAATGTCAGACATACAAGTCACAAGCCTGATGTGCATCATAGGAGATCTTCCAAAGGCAGTGCGCGCACACACTAACTGAACATCATCAGAGTCCGCGTTTGTTTTAATCCCCGCTAGAAGACAAAAGGCTTTTGCGCTCTTGCCTTATTACTTGCTTGAGTTAACACGTAATTCACAATTGGTGATCATGTGACCCCTATAATCATGTGACATGCATGTGACACAAATTCCTCAACACAACGAAGCATATTTTTCTAAAATTCGCTTCGTATGTCCTTTCTTTTCTTCAGTTGTCTCACGGGGTTTGATGTCGGCCGATGTCGCTTTCTTCTTCTTACACTTAGACGATGGTCCGCGAATTTCCTGTTGTTTTTTTAAAAAATTAATCATTACTCCTGCACATGTGATATGGTCTGTGCACGCGGTGTTTATGTGCTGTGCAAATGATGTTCATGTGCTGTACACGTGGTGCTCATGTGTTGTGCACGTGCACCGCGTATGCCGTCAAGGAATTGTGCATGTTCTGTGCATGTGAGGTTGATGTATATTGGAAACGCTTGCGTGTGTAAACTTTTCATGCTGCATATACCGTACTGTTCACGTGTTGTCCTGTTGCTGCGTGTAAAGTGGCAATGTGTTGCGCATGTCAAATTACTAAACACGAAATTGACAAATGTACCTGTAGTTCCCTTGTCGTGTGTGCGAGGTGTCCAGATCACCATATTCTTCTTGTTCCTATGGCAACCGGTGCAGCACATAAGACAAACAAGGGGAAAATGAATAATGAAATTAAGTAAATGAATGGGATGTTAATTGTGAGTTTTCACACTACATGAATAAGTTGCCTTAAATCCAAACATCTCGTCATGATGGTGCTTTTGCTTTGTACCCTTACCTGGTCCCATTCCTACAATTAACCATTAATCTTAATATCTCGTCATGATGGTGCTTTTGCTTTGTACCCTTACCTGGTCCCATTCCTACAGTTAACCATTAATCTTAATATCTCGTCATGATTGTGCTTTTGCTTTGTACCCTTACCTGGTCCCATTCCTTCAGTTAACCATTAATCTTAATATCTCGTCATGATGGTGCTTTTGCTTTGTACCCTTACCTGGTCCCATTCCTTCAGTTAACCATTAATCTTAATATTTCGTCATGATTGTGCTTTTGCTTTGTACCCTTACCTGGTCCCATTCCTACAGTTAACCATTAATCTTAATATCTTGTCATGATCGTTTATTTCTGCTATGCATTGTAGCGCTGCTTACCTGTGTTATTGTTACTGTTTCTTTCTCCAGTAAAGATCTTGCTCGTAATTTTGTTTTCAGTTCAAAAGTTAAGATATTGTCTTTAAAAGTTAATTCTTTTTCTCCAAATTTTGCTCTCCAGGGCTTTGGTTTAACGTCCAGTGGCTTTTTGGGTGTTTCCTAGCAACGAGAAATATAAGTGTAGTCAACCTTCGCCCGCAATCTTACTAACGTAAATCATCTGAAAGACACTCAAGCGGCATTGCAGGCGAGGACTAATTTGATCATCTTGGACAAACAAGACAAGAAGGCAATTCATAATAACTCGAACCAACCTTTTGCTCCTGCAGTTTTGTCTTCAAACGAAGCCGGCTTTCCATCCCTTGTGATGACGTCACTGTATCACGTGATAAGACATCTGACAGCTGCAGCTTAAATTGAACTGGTTCGTTGATTTTTGAAGAAGACGAGCTGCGCCATCTTGGTTTGGGCTTTACTTCAGGTGGTTCGGTCTTCGACTTGGATGATATCTGCGAATGCGTACATCTGCTGGAGACTGGTTCCAAACTCTGCTTCTTTGTACTTGCTGATCGAGATGTACGCATGGACGACGTTTGCGCATGCTCACGCCTACTGGAGACTGGTTTTATACCTTCTTCCTTTCCTTTGTATTTTGGTGGCAAGGTCAAAGAATCAAGATCTCCTTCCGATGACAGCACGATATGTGTTCGCTGTGAACGGTCGTTTTCTACTCCTTTTTGTGACTTTGACGAGAAGTGGCTTGCGTAGCTGTGATGAAGATCCTTCAATGAATCTTGATCCCTCAAACTATGAGAAGGAGTAGCGACACCCACCTAAAAAAAACATTAAAAACGATAATTCTATTAAAGTGAAACTAAAAAAATAGGTTAAGCATATCTATATCAAGGTAAAACTTGGAAGCAGTTATTCAGGAGTAAGGCAACATAAGCCATATTCGGTAAAAAAGCATAGACTATAGCCCATGGTTTTCACGCATCTTGGGCCATTTTCACAACTAATTTTTAAAAGATATGCATTATATGTGATTTATGGAAAAAAGGTCATTTTTGTCCATTTTGGGGCAAAAAGCATGGACTATAGCCTATGGTTTTGACACATTTTGGGCCACTTTCCCACGTTATAGGAAAATACGCATAATTTATGAAGAACGCAAAATAGGGGTGCAGAAGGGCGTGGCGGGGGTTACCCAAAATTCTGCCATCGTAGGGATGTTGTCCCTAGGGCCCACGTCTCACACCATCAATCTCGAATATCGTTGACGTCACGACCATGCCTCCAGCCTCAAAAAGCTAAGTATATCCCAAAGGGGGTTGCAAAAGGGCGTGGTGGGGGTGACCCAAAATTCGGCCATCGTGGGGATGTTGGCCCTAGTGACAAGATCTCACACCATAATTAACGAGCATCGATGACGTCACGACCACGACCCAACCTTAAAAAGATAAGTATAGTCTAAAGGGGGGTTCAAACGGGCGTAGTGGGAGTCATCAAAAGTTCGAGCATCTTTGGGAAGTAAGCCCTAGGGCTCACATCTCACACCATCAATTTCAAGCATCGATGACGTCACGACAACGCCCCCAGTCTCAAATAGCTAAGTATAGCCTAAAGGAGGGTGCAGGAGTGCTTTTTTGCACACCTCTTAAAAAAAAAAGGAATTATTTATGAAGGATGGAATATAGGTCATTTTTGTCCATTTTGGGGCAAAAAGCATGGACTATAGCCAATGGTTTTGACGAATTTTG